TGTGACAATATTAAATGGTTTAACCTATATGTAATTGAATTCCTAGAAGAATAAGGGTTTGAGGATATAAAAAAATATTTGAGGAAATTATGGCCAAATTTTTGCAATATTTCTTAAAAACTCTAAGCAAACAGACTCAAGAGGCTCAATGAACACTAAATAGAATAAACATAAAGAAAACTCTTCCAAGACACAAAATGATCAAATAGCTAAAAATAAGTAGTTAAGAAAAAGTCTTGGCCCTGCCGACGAGTAGCTGCGGAGGCCAAGGCGGCATCCAGCAGCAGACCCAGCACTTCCCAGCCTGTTGCTTTACTTCTCGCTGCACCAACACAGTCATTATGCCGTAGAGAAAGTCTCCAGAGAATATAGAGGGCAAAGATGGTTCTAAAGTAACTAAACAGGAGCTCAGAAGACAATCTACCAGATTATCAGCAAAACCTGCTCCTCCAAAATCCGAACCTAAACCAAGAAAAACATCTGCTAAGAAAGAACCTGGAACAAAGCTCAACAGGGAGGCTAAGGGGAAGAAGGAGGAGAAGCAGGAAGCTGGAAAGGAAGGTACTGCACCATCTGAAAATGGTGAGACTAAAGCTGAAGAGGCACAGAAAACCGAATCTGTAGATAACAAGGGAGAATGAATTGTCATGAAAAATTGGGGTTGATTTTATGTATCTCTTGGGACAACTTTTAAAAGCTATTTTTACCAAGTCTTTTGTAACTGCTAATTTTTTAGAACTCTACTAGTTGGCATACAAAAATATATAAAGATGGACATTTTACCCTCTCATAGTCACACTTTTTGGAAATTTCCATCATTCTCAAGTAACATAAATACCACTTTAATATTGGAAGCTGTGTGAAACATGGATACAGCATTCCATGCAGTCGCTTTAAAAATTTAGTCCTGTGCATACTGTGGTGTTTTTACTGTGCATACTCGAATTTTTCATGCAATTTTTTCTAGAGCAATAATCAGTGGTGCCTTTGTATCTAGGTTTTATGTGATTTTAATGAAACATGGACAGTTGTGGCCACCTGCTGACTATTTGTGGTTTAAAATAAAAGGTTTTGGCTCAGCGCCTGTGGCTCAAGTGGCTAAGGCGCCAGCCACATACACCTAAGGTGGCGGGTTTGAATCCCCAGCCCGGGCCGCCAAACAACAATGATGGCTGCAACCAAAAAATGGCCAGGCATTGTGGCGGGCGCCTGTAGTCCCAGCTACTTGGGATGCTGAGACAGGAGACTTGCAGGAATTGGAGGTTGCTGTGAGCGTGATGCCATGGCACTCTACCCAGGGGGATAGCTTGAGGCTCCATCTCAAAAAATAAAATAAAATAAAATAAAATAAAAGGTTTTCTTGTCTGAAAAAATCTTAAAAGCCACTGGAAAAAAGAACACATATTCCATACACACATAGATGAATAAAAATAAGGATGGAAGCATACATTTTTCACAGAAAATATGCAAACCAGTAGATAACAAAATGGTGTCTTTAAACTTTAAAATGATGAAAGAAGAAACTCGTAAACCATGTCTGGCAATACCCAGCAAAAATATGTCCTTCAAAAATGAAGGCAAAATAAAAGGTTTTTAAGACCAACAAAACCTGAGATAATTCGTATACAGAAGACTTGCACTATAAGAAGTATTAAAGAAAGTTCCTCAGGCTGAAAGAAAACATGTCCTGATAAATACTTAAATCTACAAGAAGGAATAAAGATCACCAAAAAGGGCAAGTAAATGATTAAATATAAAAGATAGTTTTTCTTTTATTGATTTCTTTAGAAGGTAACTGAACTAAAGCAAAAAAGTAGTAACTATGTAGTTCAGGAATGTAATATATGTAAAAGTAAAATGTATGGCAACACACAAAAGACGACAAGGACAACAGAAAGAAACATAGTCAGATTTTTATAAAGATTTTACATTAGATGTCAGGTAATAAAAACACAACGTGAAGGTTGATTGTCATAACTTGGAGATGGTAGAAAACATAAAAGTGACCACCAACAATTAAAACAGAATACAGCAAAATAAAGCAGGCTTTTCCCCAAAAACGCACTTAATTCAAAAAAAGGAGGAAATAAAGAAAAGAGAACAAAAAACATGAAACAGAAAACAAATAGCAAAATGAGCAATACACAGCCTCAGAGACCTGTGGGACCCCATGAAGCATACCGACATGCATAATAAGAGAAGGCAAAGAAAGGGGCAGAAAGAATATTTGAAAAAAATAATGGCTGAAAACTTCCCAATTTTGATGAAAGACGTAAAGACATCCAAGAGGCCAAATAAACACCAAATAGAGTGAATATCGCATAAAAGATGAGATTCACATTGAGACATATTATCGTCAAACTGTTGAAAACAACAAAAGAGAAAATAATTTGTTGCACACAAGAGATGTCAATAAAGATTAACGGGCAGTGCCTGTGGCTCAGTGGTTAGATGAGCCACATACATCCAGGCTGGCAGATTCTATCCCAGCCAGGCCAGCTAAACAACAATGACAACTGCAACAAAAAAACAGCCGGGCATTGTGGCAGGCATCTGTACTCCCAGCTACGTGGGAGGCTAAAGCAAGAGAATCACTTAAGCCCAAGAGTTTGAGGTTGCTGTGAGATGTGATGCCACAGCACTCTACCAAGGGTGACATAGTGATACAGTGTCACAAAAATATATATAAATAATCAATAAAGATCAACAGATAATAGTTAATTAAGATGAGAAAAACTATATGTGGGGATGTGAAGGATGAGAAAGCTGGAGATCAGGAGTTCAACACTGGACATGTTAGACTTGAGTTGTCTATTAGATATTAGATATTCCAGTGAAGATTTAACAAGGTTGAATATATGAGTCTGAAGTTCAGGGGAAAGATCCAAGCTAGAGATAAATATTTATAGTCATCATGGTAGTAGATTTGCTATTTGAAGTTCTGGGAATAAATGATATATAAAGAAAAGAGTATATGCAGGTAAGAGAAAAGGTCCAAAAACTGATTTCTGAATCACTTCAACATTAAAAGTTTGGAAAGAAGAGTAGAAATCAGTTCAGAAAACAGAAATAGTGTCTGATGAGGTAGGAAAATCAGGAAAGCCATGTAATGAAAAGTGTTTTGAGGAAAACGTAACAACTCCATCAAAGGTTGTTCTGTTTCATAGTAGGGCTGAGTACATTGGATACTTTTTCTTCCATTCTTGAGATCCTTTGCTAAGAAGAATATTTTCCAGCTCCATCCATGTAAACATGAAGGAGGTAAAGTCTCCATCTTTCTTGATGGCTGCATAGTATTCCATGGTGTACATATACCACAATTTGTTGATCCATTTGTGGATCGATGAGCTCTTTCATAGGAAAGCTATAACCTAATTTTAGCCCAGGAATATAGGGAGAGGGGAGAGGGAGGGAAGAGGATGGGGGAGGGTGGGTGGAGGGAGGGTGATTGGTGGGATCGCGTCTATGGTTCATCCTATAAGGGTACATGTGAATCTCTCTAAATGTAGAATATAAATGTTTTAACACAATAACTAAGAAAAAGACATGAAGGCCTTGTTAACCAGTTGGATGAAAGTATTTCAAATTGTATATAGAAACAGTACACTGTACCCTAGGACAGTATTAATATATACTGCTATGATTTAATTTAAAAAAAAAAAGGGGGGGGCTCAGTGCCTGTGGCTCAAGCGGCTAGGGCGCCAGCCACATACACCTAGGGTGGTGGGTTTGAATCCCCAGCCCAGGCCCACCAAACAACAATGATGGCTGCAACCAAAAAAATGGCCAAGGGTTGTGGTGGGCGCCTGTGGTCCCAGCTACTTGGGAGGCTGAGGCAGGAGACTTGCTTGAGCTCAGGAGTTGGAGGTTGCTGTGAGCTGTGATGCCATGGCACTCTACCCAGGGGGATAGCGTGAGGCTCTGTCTCGGAAAAAAAAAAGGTTGTTCTGTCTTTTTTTCTCAAGTCTAGTTTGAGACATTGTCTTGCCGCATAATTGGTGTTTTCTCCTTAGTTAGTAGTGTGTTATTCAATCTACAGGCTTGCACATAAGAAACGCTCCTAATGGGTTACAGGTGGTTCTCATTGTGTGTGTGCATGTACACAATACTTAGCAGTACAATGTGAAGATCATGGGGTGTGGAGCCAGTCCTAGCTCCACTACTTCACGTTAGCTGTGTGGCCTGGAGCAGATTACTCAACTTCTGTGAGCACTGGTTTCCTTGTGTGTACAATAAGGCTAATAATATTTCACCTATCTCATTATCTACCATTAAAATTAAAAGACTCTCTATATAATGACACACTATAAGATCTCAAGAAAGATTCATTACTTGCCCATTCCTGACATATGAGAATATGTCCACAACTTTGTGTTTCCTCAGCTGCTGAAACTGAGTATCCTCTCCTGAGGACTGGCCTTCCCTTCTCTAGATTGGAATGTTTTTTTAAAAACTATTCATGCAACATGCTCATATTTAGGAGGTAATTATTTGACTTATTCTATGAGGTCTCCTTGAAGAAAAATAAATATTTTTTAAACAAGATTGCTTTGATACAAAATGAGTGGGAAGGGAGGGGAGAGAAGAGAAAAAGAAAAAATATAAATGGGTCCATTTGGAGCAACAGCAGTCAAGTAACTGTTCGGATATAAGGAGAATGGAACTTCTAAATCAAAGTTACCTTGCCAAGAATCATAGCTCTTAAGCCCCTTAACTCTTATTTGACCTCTTTCCACACCTTTTATCCCTACCAGAATTTCTGCCACAAAGTAAGAAAAATTTTAAATTGTTCTTCCCATTCCAAAGGCATGAAAGCCTCCACATGGAATGTATTTGTTATTTATATGATTATGGGACTTTTGTTGTTGTTATTATTATTATATTAACTTGTATTTCTTAGGGGGAGAGGAAAGGAGTTGTAGGCAGAAAGACTCATAAAATGAAACTAAGTGCCAGAACTCTCCTGGAAATCTAAGGTAGTTAATTATTTAAGGGAGTCTTCTCCTCTTTAGAGATAGTTTCTTCAGCATACCTCTTTGCTTATACTATTTTAATTAGTAATCAAGAAAAAGAAGTGCAGAAGAAAGTATATTAAAAATGTGTTATGATTGACCTGGTTGACTCCCCTAATAACTGATTGACCCCCATAATAACCTGAAATAAATTTACTTAAAAAAATATATATATATATGATATGCTGTCAGATCACAGGAAGAATAGGAAAGTCTTAATATGTATGTTCCAAAAACAAATACACTTCAAAAACTACATGTATTCTATAGTCCTGTTGGTTATAGCTTGAAAACTCAAACTTAATAGTGTTTTTTAATCAGCTTAGAGACTCCTGCATATCCTGACTACTGACCCCAGTACGTAGTTTCTGCTTTAACCCTAAGATCACATAGCCATTTGTTCATTAGACTCAGGGAACTCTTACAGCCTTAAGTAGGGATCACCAAAGTTGTTCTCTGCCTAATGTTTATTACCAGTCCAAGGTGTCTTTGAAGATGGATAGGTACCAAGATATCTGCCTTACTTTATCCATATAGGCATCTAGGGAATTTTCCTGATAATATAATGAGAACAAACAGGTCCCCAAAATACAAAGAGTACATGCAGAGTTAGGTCCACCACTCATTTTTTATTTTTCCTTTTTTTTTTTTTTTTTTAAGACAGAGTCTCACTGTTGTCCTTGGTAGAG